AAAAAAAGTATCGTTCTAGCCTTTACTTGCAAAAATACGGTTGTGTCTAAAGGTTAGTTTTACTACAGGAAAAATGTGCCCTTGTGTGTGCTGCTAGGTGTGATAAGATTCACAGTGAGGTCAGCACAGTGAAGACTTGAACACAGGTCTCAAGCCAGCACAGCATTTCTGCTCTTCTATTGTCTCACTCTGTACAGACATCAGTGGGAGGAGGGATGAATTTTCCTCAAGTATTTGGAAAATACTTAGTATACTGCAGCTATAGTCATGTGACTCACAGACATGGTAGCAGATCTGGCCACACACTTCCAAAACCATGTGTTACTACCTGCAGAGACATTTTTGAAGTATTTCTGATCATTTTTACCAGGCAGACCAAAGGTATGGTCCTACAACTAGCTAACCAAAATCTGTGCTGCTCCTTCCCCTGTGATTTACTCCTATTATAAGAAACCACTTCAGTCTCTTAACATTTTAAACTGTATTGCTCCTGCCTCTGGAAAAAAAAAAAAAAAAAAAAAAAAAGGATCAAAAGAGGTCCAAAGATTTAGAAATGTTAATTGCTGACAGCGGATGATTCTGCTCTGAGCTGTCCTGAGCTTTACGGGACATCACTGAAGGAATGCAATACTCAAACAACACTGACAATTGGAAGTGAAGGCACCCCAAAACCATAATCACTTCTGAATGTCATACTATTTTCAGAATAGTTATGGTTTATGCAGAGTGCTGAGGTAAAAGCCTTGCATACATGGACAGTTAATAGTTAACTAAAATAGATGTATTTGTGGATAGGGCTTTCCCTTGGACATTTACAAAGGAGTGGATAGAAGAAACAGGGTGCTCATTTTATTGAGCTCCAAATTTGAAGGGATTTTGTTTATAGGAAGCAGAAGTACACACAGCCCACCAAACAGGTGGATGCTAAAGAAATGAATAAAAAGCTTTCCTTATACCCTACAGACATGACAATTTCAGGACAGAAGTGATTTTGTATGTTGACAGGTTCATCCTTTTGAAGATGAGATAATTATCTGTATGAGTTCACTCTGTAGCTTCTAGAACTCGACGAGTATGATCAACTCCTCTGAAAATCTCCAATGGCTTATCCCTGCAGCTGTGTATCAAAATGGAAGTTGATACAGAAACTGGTTGTTCCTACTGCTTTGTATCTGTGTTGATAGCTGATGTGTTCAGTGAGCCTGCTGCTTGGGATATCTGTCAGAACATCTGACAGCTAAAGGTTGGGGGAATGCGAAGCCTGACAGCAGCGATGCGGCACCGGGGACTCAAAACCTGCTCTTAGTGCAGTCAGTGGGAGTTATAGCTTTGGGCCCAGTTCTCATTTAGACATGCATGCTATCAGTGCCCTTTTCTGGGGCCTCTTGTATTGCTGGAATGGTGTAAAGATGCATAACTGTGACTGAGGATAAGATATTCAGGTCCCACTGACAGCAGAGTTCAGTCCTGGAGAGGGTGATAGTAGCACCTCCTACAAATAGGGGTAAACTCCCCATTTTTTGTGCTACTTTTGAGGCTCAGTTTCCAACTCAGTCACTCAAACAGGTACCATTTACGTGTCATTTACTTGGTGTGTAAGTGTGGTTGTGTACTGAGGCTACAAAAACGAGGGTCATGCCACTGCAACCCTGCCCTGTCAGCAAACCTACCTCCTGCAAACTCAGGCATGTTGCCGAAAAGAATAGATGACAGACATCCCTACTCACAAGCTTTCTCCTAAATCCCAGGTCAATATTTAGGTCAACGAACAGAGCCAGAGCACAGCTCTCAGGTTTGTAGAGAACTGAACATAAATTGAAGAAAATAGCATATATTGCAGTGGGAGTATGCTGCATGGCAAAGGGGAGGGAAAAGAAAAAAGGATCACTTTTGATTCAAGTACTAATACATTAGAAAAAAAATGAGTGACATTTTTTAACAGGATTGTATGTTAACTCTTGAAAGCTGGAACTGTCCTTGGGAATCCAAGAAACCCCAATACCTAGTCGCAGGTGCAGGAATTCCCAAGATACGCTTTCTCCCTTTACACACTGGAACTGTTAGTGTGAAATGTGATACGTGAGTTAGTTAACATAGCCACTATCAGGGTGTGCAGCAATGGGCACCGAGATTTTTGCTTTCTTAGAGGAGAAGCAGAGGAACCTGTCAGTGGAGAGGGGTAGTGTGGAGATTGTGAGTGTAAGAAGTGCTGCTGCAAAATAAGTAATTCGATTCCTAAAGGTCTGAATGATACCTGGGAGCCTCCTTTCATCAGAAGCTGTAGGAAATGATCTATATTATCTTTTTAGTGGACCTAGCAGGGCTTTTTGTTTGTTTGTTTCTTGTGTGTGTTTGTAGGCCTTCATATACAAACCTTGCATGAGAAAGAAATGAAACATCAGTAGCGGTCAGAGGTACAGCCACCATACTGCAAGCATGCTTCAACGTTGCTTTTCTTCTAAAGTTTTAAATCTGTTTTGTTGCACTCATGCATCTTCCTTTTCAACCACTTATGTTTGGGACTGGTAGGAGCATGGTGAGCAGATCAACAGAGTACCAGAGAGTAAAAAAAACATTGTGAAAAGGTATTAGAAAGTATTCCTGGCTGAGAGCACAAGTTGGTCAGGAGGAAGGATGATATTGCCAAGCAGCAAGGGGAATTGATTAGATAGCAGAAGAAAATCCATATGAAATCGAGGATTCATGTTCGTTTATTTATTTATTTTTACATGAAATGGGGAAAAAGCAATTATCTGAAAGCAGTTTGGAAATTTGAGCCCAGTAGCTAGCAGTAACTGTGGTCAGATGTTCCTGGCCAAATCTAGGAGTTCTTTACTAGTGCACAGGCACAGTTATTTTTGATCTCAGTGGAGTTTTGCCCAGTGAAAGACTAGAAAAATGGTTCCAAACAATGATAGAAGAGCTGAGGAAAAGCTAAAATGTGTTTAGACATAGTTATAATAATATGGGAAATAATGAAAATGTACAAGATATGTAGGCATTTAGATTTGTAGAATTTAAGACCATCGTATGGTATTTTAAAAATCAAAATTACTTGGTGTACTGCAGAAGGGTTTTTACTGTGCTACCAGGATTTGAACCAAGCAGTATAATCCCAATTTAGGCATCAGTCACTGGGAAGGCACCCACCATTATAAAAGAAAGTTCAGGAAAAGTATAAAGACTGAATAGGCTTTATGGTCAGGAAACACAACCACAATGAATGTCTTTTCTTGGGTGTAACCAACTCCAAAATTTGGTGTGGAGCCTGCGGTGTTACTCTAACTCAAGCTTTAAAAAGACAAGGCGGGGGGGGAATAAAACATTTAAGACAACAATCTTTCCTGTTTGGATTTGAACATAACTGAAAAGTTGCCATCCAGAAGTACTTCTGTGTGCTGTGATTTCTTCTGGATTTAATGACTGAATTCAGTTCTCAGTTCTCAGTTACCTAGTTAATACCATGGTGTGATCAGAGTGCAAAAGGATGTGATCCGGTGATGCTGGAAAGAGTCATGTTACCTTTACTGGGCTGTAGGTCAGTGCCTTGGGCAGAAAAACGCTGTGTGCGCTGTGCTTGTGATCTGAAAATCTCAACAAAGTCGAAGGGTTTAAACTTACAATTTTCTTCAGGGACATCTGTCAGGATTTAGGCTGTGTTTCAGCAGCACATCATAAACTTAAGTCCTTCTCCATTCAACAAAAGCATGGAATGAAATCCTCTGGCACTTAAGTCCAGAGGATTGTTTGGCCAGTCAAACCCAAGCAGAGTTGTCATGCTCAAGTTTCTCACATCATTTCTCATTACAGTGGCAAAGTGAGAAATTGAAAATAAAAAGATAATAAAAAGCACAGCATTTTAAAAATTCATCCCTAACTAAAGTTTTTCACAGTTTGCTTTATTTAGTTAGTTGGGAGGGAATTTAATTAATTTTTTATTTTATCTGTTCTGGTTCACTTACTCCCGTAGTAATTAGAAGTAAATTAGAGTTATTCTTTCTGTTAGATCAATTATTCATAACATAGACCATTTAAAAATTAGTTTCGTGGAAGCAACTTACTTCATTTTTACTAAAACTGAAAAAGAAATTAGCCAAATTAGTTAAAATAGCTTTGAACTCCATATTGACTAAAGCATTTGTGCCAGAATAAAAATTCATGACATATAAGAAGAACAGTATAAATGATTAATCATTTTAGTTCATGGATATCTATATTTTTATTTAATTACATCTATGCATAGTATAAACTGTCTGAATCTTGGGAATCCAAGCCAGAGAAGCTGAAGAGTCTTCTTCTGTTTAACATTCACCATGTGTTGTTTTCTTCTAGGGTTAATTTGTAAAATGTAAACCACATACTATTTGTATGCAGTGTTTATGTACTATTTATAGAAAGTCTTGACCATTTATAATTATCCGACATTTTTATCCATAATGTCTGCATATGACTAAAGAAATGTTTATGGAATAGATGAAACAATGTTATTTTTACAGTTGATCTGCAATTTATTTTATGTAAAATTTTCAGGGTATTTTATGTTAGAGAAGGGATATTCTCTGTTCAACTGCTTATTGAGAAGACTAAAATGATTTCTAAATAGTAATCGACACAACACCAGAGGGACACTGCAAGCTATTAATATATTCAATTTTAAGCAGCATAAACTGAAGAATAGAAAGCTCAATTTGAAATTACCAAAAATTGGTTTCTGAAAGCCCCAGGGTTGTTCTCAAAGTACAAACCTGTAACAGTTACCATCAACGCTGAAAAGTCATCAGAGGTGTCTACATATCGTAATGCAAAGTAACCGTGTTAGTTTTAGGATTTCTGTGAAATCTCAGCTAGTGCAGCTCTGATGGACTGGCTCCCATCTTCCCCTCTTTGAACACATCCTCTGTTTTTTGAACGCAGTCTGTATGTACAAGAAGCTCCACAGCATGTATGTGCCTTTATTGAGTTTTATGACTGCTGATTTTTTTTTCCCATTTTTTTTCTAGAACTCTAGAAGTTTTGGTGAGTTTGAATGAAGGGCAATCTTTCATGTCCAGCTCATTAACAATTACCGCTTCAGAGTGTGTAAGTAAATAGCTAATGTAATTCAACGCTAAATGCTCAAATTCAGTTTCTGTTATGGTTTTATCATTGAATGACTTCCCAGTGCAGAGAACCTCAGTGCGTGGCAGGTCTTTTAGGTGTTTAGAATGCACAAGTCCACCTAACTGAAAAACACACCTGTGCAGACATACAGAACATACAGAATTTGATGATACCAGATTTCTTAATATTTAAGTGCATACATATATGTATGTCCTAAGTAATTTTCTCCAGGTTTTGAGACATGCTTAGAATTTCTTTTATAACGCCAGTACACTCAATGAGGAAGTTTTTCAGCTGTTTTGCATTCCTTGATGAAGAGTGTGTGGTGGGGGTTGCAGACAATTTTTTTTTCTACAGTTACACAAAACAATTTCTTTAATTCTTCCCATTAAGGTGGCAGACAGCTTTATGTTAGGAGCATCTTTATTTTAGGATTCCATGTAAGTGAGGTATTGCTGTGCCTATCACCCTAGACTTAAAAATAATAATTGAAAGCCATGTCTTATACGGTAGGCTTGGAGATTTCTCTTCGCTTTCTGACACGGGCTCTGTAATCAGGGTTTCTTCTTCCATTGCTGCTGATCTGTTTTGCTAGCTGCTTCAGGAGCTGCTGATCTAGACCATATGCAGAACTATACACAGAGGGAAAGTCCTGGAATTCTCCTCCCCCACACTACCTCAGCTGGCTCTGTCCTGAGATCCAGGCTCTGTCTGTGTGTTCCTTGTCTGTGCTGTGCCTGTGTTGTGCTATAGCCTGCAAATCGTGCTTTGCTAAATAGATTACAACAAATTACTGTACCACACTGTGCAGCTGTGACTTTCAAAATACTGGGAAGCTTCCACGCCATTAGAGACCTGCTCGCTATAAACATAATAATGTCTTAAGAGCCAGGTGTGACATAGTCACCTGGGGTCCTGTTGCAGCACAGCTCCACTTTGTAGGATCAGTGGGAGCAGATTGAAGCTGAGTAGTGTGACTTCCGTGCAGTTTTCCTGTCAGGCGCAGAAGCATACAGAACAGTGCCTTCTGCTCATCAGCATGTATTTTTCCAACAGTATTTTCATCACTCATAGGTAATTAAACTAAAAGAGAAAAAATAGTATTTTTTTTTCTTTTCATTTTAGAACTAAACACTTGGGTAACTATAGAAGTCAAAGTTATCTCAGTTCAGCCCTTAAGTTTCAGGAACGAAGCCTGAATAAATTGAGAGCTGAAGAAACACATGCTCCCCAAACTGTGTTTCTCTGCTTAAGCGCCTCTTTGTCATTTGGATGCAGTTCAATCTTACACCAAAGCACAACGAAGCAGCCTCTCAGCATGATAACCTAAGGAGTGTGGATTTCCTCTTTTTCCTTTTTAGTCCTTCCAGAGAAACCAGTACGCAGTAAGTTTATTCCTATGCCCTCTTAAAGATTGCTAAGCTTGCTGACATAGGTAAAAATAAAGCATTGCTGCAAAGGAGATCATACCAAATTGCTGGGTGAAGCAAAATAACTGTTCCCTCTGCTTATATTGCTTCCCTGTGGTCAGAAGTTTTAACGAACAGCAAACAGAATGAGTACAGATGTGCACTGACAGAAAAAAACAGTGGAACTTCTGATCATCTTTTTTTTTTTCTGTCTTTCATGCATGTTGCAGCAAAGAGAGCTCCATACAAGGAGAACTGCTGTTTCCATAGTAGCAGATGGGCAACTGCAAGAAATGGGTCACTGCTAGAATTCTTCCACTAATTCTGATGGCTGAGCAGCTGATGGCTAGTTGGTATACGAGAGTTACAAGTTCCAGCCTCCCCTGGCAAACACACATTGCTGCAGAGGAAACAAACAAAAAATGTGTTGCACCTACGCTGAGGCATGCATCTTACCTGTTTCTTGTAAACCTCACTGCCTGGTATATACATGGTCACCTACACATACTTCGGATAAAGCTCTGCTTTACTTGCAACTGTGCTTGCTTTGGCAGAATCACTTGTGCTTGCTGTACTCCAGCATTAGTGATTCCTAAACGTCTCTCCTTTTCTTTTCCTCCATCTGAATTTCAAGTAAGTTCTGTTTTCATGAGGTCACCATGGCATGTTTCTCAGTGTTGTTCTAAATCGGCACAGAAGCACAGGCTACCAAGGGTAAGACGAAAAGCACCTACAGGATGTGGGTTTGAGGTGCTGCAGATGGGCTGCTCACTTCCTCATTAAGAGTGACATTGCTGGAAGCAATAGAAGTCATTGAGAATTTCTCAGGACAGTTGCTTCAGGTTCAAATGCCACTACTACAGGCATTTAGTGTGCTATAGTCTGTGCAGTGTGAACAAATAGTGTGGCTTATTACTAACTTGCCCAGATGCGTAGAATATATGGATTATTGGTAAATATTCATTAAAATTCCACCCACCTACCCAAAACATGTGGAACTGAGGCCTCTAATGGAAGGTGTTACTGAACTTACACCAAATACGATTTTGACTGAGATACCTATCTTGATCCTTCGTGCTACGTTTCTCTGTTGGAGAGAAAGCAAGACAGTAAGTAGAAAATAAAAAATAAATAAGTGGATTTGTTTGGTTGTATCAGCTAGTTGGAGGCTGTTTGGGGGCAAGTGAGAGGAATTGTTTGCACCATCCACTGATGTTGTCTTTCTGCTTTCTTTGCAGTCTAGCGGAGTAGCAGCACTTATTGCTGTTCTTGTGCTGTTACTTCTGGTGGCGCTTGGCCTGCTCTGGTGGTTCTGGCCCCTCTGTTGCAAAGTGGTGAGTAAAGACTTTTAAAAAACCTCAGTGGACCTGTGATTTGCAATCATAACCTAAACTGTATTGGGAAATACAGATACCATGGGAAATAGCTTAAGTAATAGGATGGTTACATGTGACATAAGCCTTCTGTTGAGGCAGTTTTCTTTCATTAGTGACAGGCAATAAACTGAAGAAGAGACCAGTTTAAACACTGTGCACTGCACCTTTAGCAGTACTTCTGGCTTTCTGAGAGACTTGCACACATGGACCAGCTTCAGCAGGCTGATGTGCTGCTCATTGGCTTTCTACTGAGCAAGCAGATGTGGTATATTCCTGTGAAATCTCTGAAAAAAAACAGTTCTCTTTTATTTGAAAGTTGTTGGCCATAATGGTACACAGATGTTATCCTGAAATCAAAGACCATTTTAAAAGTACTATCACTAAAATTGGTATTTGTAGTCCATTATAGACTCTCAAGTTGGAAATCCCTTATTGTCTTAATAATCCCTAGCAAAAAATTAAATTTTCATCTTGCCCACATTACATATCTTTTCATCTGAATAATGAATGCTTTTTATCCTTCTAGCAGCAATAAGCAATGCTGCTTCACTAACTCTCCTTCCATCTCCTCGAATGCTAGCGTTTTTAAATTGGTGGAGTTTAATAGTCATCCACTTCAACAGGAGCACTGAAGACTTGAGAAGTGGAGATTGCTTCCAGGCTGTTACTGTATTCCTTGTCTTCTCTTAGACTTGTGGAAAGGATGGTGGCAGAGGAACAGACCTTCTCTCCTGACCATTCTGAAGCCAAAAAAAAGAAAAGTTTTGTTTGTCATGGTCCATTAGACACCAGGCTATTCTAGAACAAGAAATCCTCAACCCCTGTTTCCTTCCTCATGGTCTGTGGTTTCTGAGACCTACAAACTCTCCTCTAATAAAATGACTTTCTTCTGTCTCATTCTTCACATCAGAGTCCCGTAAGAAATCTAGGAACATTGTCTGTTAGTTGTTTTCCCTCAACAATGATATATATCATGAATCTTCCCATGGAACAGAAAAAATAACATCATAAGAAGAAAGCCTCCCATTTAGTATTTTAAAATAATTGGCTCACCTTGATTCACAGTTCCCATCGTATGGCAAATCTTCCCACACTATGCATCTTCCTCTCATTACAATAAATAGCAATTGCAGTGTCTCAGTCCCTTGAGAGCAGGAATTCCTGAGAGCAGTGATGATTCTGTAATGACAATCAGTACGATGCTTTCTGGATTTGTATGTCAAAGTCCTCCATAAAAAGTCAAATGTGCAGCTCTGTGACTAAAATTAACTGAATAGCTGCACTGTGTAACAAATTGCCTTGGGTACGGTACCTTGGGTGCCCTTGGGTGCGCAGTGTTATTAATGCAGGCTCCTGTCTGGGCTAACCTCCTTGGTGGGGATAACTTGGGCGTCTCCACAAAGAGCTGCACCAAGAGGTAAGGAAATGTCCCTTCATCCTGATTAATCTCACGCTTAAGTATGTTACTCCCTGATGTTTACTCTAAGGAGTAGTAACTTACCCAGAGTAGCTTTTCTGGATGTGGTGTTTGGTTTGTAATTGGCTACTGCTAGGGAAGCCTTTGGCTCTAGGTTAATAAGCTATTAGTAAGAAGCTGCCTAACTTGTATGGAAGCAATAAAACCAGGGCCCTTTAAATTTTAGTGCTGTTATTTCCTCCCACCTCTCATAGACATTATCTGCTCCCTTAAAAAGAAACGGTCATTTTAGGTCATCATTTCCTACAACAACACTGATTTCCAAAACCACATACTTGCACTGAACCTCTTACCAAATACCGACTCTTCATTTCTTGTTGTTTTGACGTCTGTTTCCTCGCCTCCTTACGCTGTGGTTCCATTCTTTTCCTTCTATTCTGCACTTAGGTTCTCACATTACATGCTATTACCACTTCTGCCTAAGTACTTCTGGGCTTTGGTGTTTGAGAAGAGGGCCAGCATATTAGGGACGGCCAGGAGGTCCCCTGCCCTTTCTCTGAGCCCACTTCCCTGGCAGAGTGGCGTGTCTATTTCATGGGACAAAACCCAGGAGCAACGCTGAAAGCGGCAGCCTTCAAGTCTTGTGTCATGGGCTGCACAATTGAATGGAAAAGAGAGAAGTGGAAAGGTGTTGCAGACAGTACAGAATGGGTGTTCAGAGCCACACAAGGGGGTGATCCCTGTTGCCCGCAGGAAATGTGAGCTTCAGGTGGTTTGGGAATTCTGCTTTATCCTTGCTAGGACTTGGTCTTCACAGCATTCCTTGATACAAAGTCCGTGTTGGGGTAGGGGCACTCCTTTTCTTCTTTCTCTTTTTTCCCTTCCCCCCGCCCCTCTGCTTTTTTTTTTTTTTTTTTTTTTTTTTTTTTTTAAGCAGTTCACTGTTGACAGTTCTTTCACTCTTCCCTCAATATCAGAACATATGATCGCATCAAGCTGGCTTCAGGCTCTGGTGCTGACATTTCCTAATGCCCACATCACGCGAACATTTGAAAAGTGTTAATGAGCAGATCAAAGGGACTGTTGCCTGAAGCAACTAACTTTTTTTTTAAAGAAATCGGCTTTCCTCCAAACTGAAGTCTTCATTCTTTGCAACTAAATAAATGAGGTGCAGCCTTGCCTGCGATGATGATGATGATGATAAAACAAAACAAAACAAAATTAGGAAGTAATCCATCTTTACATGTGTTTAATAAGACAGCAGCATTATCCAGAGTCTTCAGTATTTCAACAATCTGAATCAAGCTCAGGGAAAGTTAATTTAGCAATATGATGATCTCAGTATCTGCAGCGTCATGCTACACTTGCGCTGGTTTATGCTGAAACCACATTCATTCTTTGGATTTCTCTTTTTTAAAAATGTTTTTCTACTGATTTCACGTGAAATAGCAGGCAAGACTGAGAATATTCTTTGTGTGTGCATGAGAGAGAGAGTGTGTGTGTGTGTGAGGAGCCTGTGGAAACATAAGGATGCAGGCATTTACATTCCACTTCTGTCAGCAAGGGTGAGTATCTGCTACTCAAAGCAGATTATTTTCTCACACCACTGTCACATTTAAAGCAAGTTTCATTTTCTACAGCTATTAGAAATAGCAGCTAATTAATGTATTGGTTAGTTTCAGATCAGGTTTACCCTATAACTTCAGGGATTTTAGCAGCTGCCATAGGATTGAATCCTTTGCTCAAGGAGTCAAACAAAAACTGTCACTGACTTGTGACTTTCAAGCCCTGTGAGGTAAACAGAGTTTTCCTTGATTCTTTGGGGTAGAAATTTTGATTCCATTAAAACCAATAAGCACAGGGCCCAAGTGAACTTTAGCATGTTTAGAAGTTTGGTGTACAAAGCTGTCTTTGCTCGGAAGAGATTGCAGGGCTGAAGAATCATAGAATTATAGACAGTGCAATGATCATACTGTTTAATGATGTAAGTGTGCACCCTAGCTCGGCCTTCTGTCCTGTATAGCTAGCAGTCTTGGCAGGAAAATATGTGCTTTCGAGGTAATGGTTATAGACAGGCAAAAGGAAAAGAAAAATGAGAATTAAATAAATAAAACACTGTGAACATTAGTAGATTGAGAGCATCATTTTACTGTTTACAGTCTTTTAATTGCTTTCAGTGAGAATGGAAGATTTTCATGGCTTGGAAAATCTTGCTCAGCACCCAGATCTCCTAGAATCTGTCCCATGATCCCTCTGTGTTGTTGTTTCTGTAAAGTTCAGGCAGTAATTGCAATCTGGCTTTCAGCAATGTTTGACAAACTAAATAGTTGATTTCTGTTAGTACTTTGAAAATTCCTGCTGGCTGGTAGGAAAAAATATTCAGAAATATTTAAAGAAAAACAATTTATTGGCATGTTTTAGCAACATCCTACAGCAAAGGCATATATGGTTAAAATCCAAAATTGAATTCCCAATCCACTGGAAGTACTCTGAGCATAATAAACAGTTCAGTATCTTAAACCTGAAGTACCATGGAAAAATGTTTCCAAGAGTACCATAATTTACTTGTCTGAGTTGATCTAATTCCTTTATCCAGTGCTAAATATACACAACTTATTTTGGCAGTAACTATCTTGGTGGCATTGTGACTTGGATGTAAGTCAAGAAGGAAAACTCTTGACTACTGGTCAAGTAAAAGATGTTTCCTTAATGTCTGATGCTATATATCTGTGCAACGACAGAATGCTTGTAGGCTGTGGTAGGGTTAATGGAAGTACTGTAATTAATTACACAGAGCACAGAAAATAATACATATCATAATTAAGGTACTTCATCCTGCAGTAGGAGAGGTACATGGCTGTCATCGTGGACAATTTTGGTTGGTCTATGGCATAGCAGAAATAAATACCTTTACATTCATGGGATATTTTTTAATCATTTCTATACAACATTCAAGCACAAAAAAAAATGCCCTGATATCACTCAAATGCTTCTTTTTAGCTTTATTAGCCTGCATTTCTCGTGGAATAATGCCTGTGCTTTCATTTTCTGCCTTTACCATTTAAAAGGGTTGCCCTCTTCCTCTTCCCCTCCCTTTACTGCTGGGTGGTTTCCTTTCAGTACCAGGGAACTCCCTGAGATTTACAGTATGCATGCAAGAAAGAGAACAGTAAGAAAATGTAGGTAGAGGTTTAAATATAGGTGTGAATGAATTACCATATGAGTGATCCTTATCCAGTAACAGCTTTAAGCAGCCTTGCAAACGTGTAACTCCCACTTGCAGGCACTGAACAGTCAAGGAGCGACATACTTAAATTATTAGTCTGAAATGTGAGACCCGTGGAAATGGTCTGGATGTCTAGAGGTGAAGCCTGAGCTACCAGAAGGCATTTCACACTTGTCATTGGGCCAGAAATTATCCAGCAGCATGGCATGGCACAAAGAAGCAGGCGTCTTGGCCCAACATTATGCAAGACCTCACATAGACCTTGGGCTGCTTTTCCTCCCAGGCTTGCTAATTAACTCCATAGGATTTCATCACTGGCTATTACTTAGAATGACTGAGTCCTATCCGGTCAGGAAGCAAAGTGGCAGACACGTCTGCCCAAAGAGTGTCTGCCAGTCAATTGATTTTATTTTCTATCAGACGGATGGTGTTAATTTCCAGAAGGCCTTGATAATCGATACCCAAGGGACTTGGCAGCAGTGGCTGCCAGTTTATGAACAGATGTGGGGGACTCAGATGGAAACCGTTCACTCTTAAAATTTTTTGTTGGCTTTTTGATGCTGCCAGCACAATTCCTTATGCTATTTTTTTTTTTTTTAGGTCATCAAAGATCCCCCTCCACCTCCACCAGCTCCAAAAGAGGTACAGTATAAAAGTGCTCCGCTTATCACGCTGGTTGCATGGTACCATTCCTTAGTGTTCTCCTGTGTTCTGCACATCTGGCTGCTTTGTATTTTTTAGGAAATAAAGCTCTTTGTAAACAGCTGCTCAAGAAGAAAGAACTGTCTCATGAGAAGTCTTAGGCTGAGAGCAGGATGGCCAAAGTCCACATCTCTGTTCTGTCTTGGTCGTCTCAGAGTGGTGTGAATTTAGTCACTTAAGTACATATCCAAAGAAATATTTAGGAGTTTTATTCCAAGACTGTTGAACATTATTTTTTTCATTCTGCAATGAAAGCAGAAAGACTAAATAGTTCTTATGACAGTCTAAAGATTTATCATATTACTCTAAATAGGATTTTCCCACAGCTTTGGATTTTTAGACACTGAAGAATCCTTATAAGGGAACTTCTCTCTTAAGGGCAATAATGTAATAGAGGATCTCCGGGTGTCTTCAGTGTTTTTTGCCTCTTCATCTTGATTTAGCCAATTGTTTGAACGTATTCAAGTGTCTTCTGACAGCTAAATCCATGATAAGGTACTTCACTGAGCTGAGGGAGCCAAGAGCAAGTTTGACAAAGTTTGGCTTAGGAAACTGTGATCGGCTGCATAACCTTTATCTGCAGATCTGCTGAACGCTGCCTGCTGAATCCCAATGAGGAGGACTGATAATCTGGCTCTTTGAAGGCATTACATTTTCTGTTAGAGGAAGACACCACCAATCTTTTTCTTTGTATTTTGCTTGTTTTTATTAATGGAAAGGAAAATGATCAGTATTCAGAATTAATACTGATCAGTAGAATAGACAGTTGGATTCTCCATTTCGATTTTCCTAATAGATGCCAGCAGTGTTTTTCCCATGCAAAACCCTAAGATTATTTCCAAATGTGATCAGATTTTGTTTGGAAATCGATGAACATTTGAGGAACCTAAAAATTTGGTACTTCACACCTAATATAGGAAAACCTTTTCTCTGTGAAATACACTGAAAATGAAATACACTAAAAAGACAATAAAATAAAAAAGACGTATCCTTTTCAAGAAAATGTCTTTGAATTTATTGACAGGAAGAAGAACAAGAACCCTTGCCTACCAAGAAGTGGCCCACAGTGGATGCTTCCTACTATGGTGGACGAGGAGTTGGAGGAATTAAACGGATGGAGGTTTGTGCCATATAGAAATGACAATTCACTAAAACATAAGATCTCTGAGGCTGCAAATGGTGGAAAGAAAGACTTAAAGTGTACTGGAAATACAATGGTATAATGTTCACTTCTTTCCCCGTGACATAATCCTTATAAAATTTTTACCATATCAAATAATTTTGACCTTGCTTATGAAAGAACAGCTTTCAGTAGTTCCATTTGACTGGAACTTTAAATAGCTGCCCAAAGACATGCTCTTTCCATCAAACTAATGAAAAGTAGAGAGTGAGAGCCTTTTCTGAATGTTTTGGAAAAAATTACAGTGAAACATAAGTCCTCTAACTGTGGGCCAGCCAAATGCATTGACAATGGTGACGCTAAGGAGAAGCTTGATCCCAGAGGAACTCTCAGCGACAACAGTGCCTGTCTTTGAAGAGACATGATAGCATCATGTTAATTAAAACAGAATGAAAAATGTGCATCCTTATGGGCATGTCCTTATGTCAGATTTTATAGTCAATTCAGCCTTTATGGAATTTGCAAAGCAGTTTTCTGTGTTTAAGTTTAATCTGTGAAACTTCCACTGTCTGAAATACCCACCTAGGCCATATAGACATATCTTGATCAAACCGTAAATGTGTCGGCCTAAGAACCATCTTTGCCTGCGTTCTTTTGAAATGCAGCAGAAGAACGTGCAACTTTAAAGCTGTGTTATTCCTTCAGTAGTTCAGAATTGCAAATTTAGAAGAGCCTCATATTTTAGAAAAAGAAACCATTTTGTATAGTGCTTTTCAGATGCAAACTAGAAAATGCTTTCCAACATAAAGAATTGCAAGCCTGGATTTTTAACGGGTTCCACGATGTGCCTCAGAAGGGATTTCAGGGTTTAAATCATTACAGTTTGTACAAAAGATCTTGTCCAATGAAACAGAAACCTGATAGATACCCAATGAACACAAATAGTATCAGTACCATAAAGAAATGTGTGTTTATCAGATGGCAAATATACAGTGTTTTCTTTCAAAAAAAGAGAAGAGAAAGTAATAATTAGGCTAGAAAACATTTTTATTTGTACTAGGAATTTTATGCAGAACAAAGGGTTAAAGATGTAAACCAACTGAAATTGCTGACAACACAAATTCTTAAAAGGTACTTCATTCCTTGGAGCTGTCTCTCTGTCCTTTTCTAGAACCTGAGAGTAGTCAACAATTTTGGGGGTTGGGCAACTCATCTTAGATGCCTCAGCATTTGAATATGAAGCTTTAACTCTCTCCTGCAGAATCTATTACAGTGGGGCTGAGGGGAAAGCTGGCTTAGTTACCTATTTCCAGCTGCTTGGACAGAGAGGTATCTAACCTCATACCTTTCACTGGCTTGAGAGAATGTTACTCATTTGGTGAATCAGAGCAGTGTGGAAACAGGACAGCAAACAAAAAAGTGTCTTACATCATGATGAAGGTATGCAAGTCTAAGGGAGGTCATTCCTTACCTGACAATTCAACATGGATAGTGGTTTCTGTGCTGTGGCCAATGAAAAACTTTTTGATCTAGTCATTCCATTTTCTTCAGTGTTTTCAATTCATGTGGTCATTCAGTTGTCTAATTCTAATTGCTTCTATCTTCTATGTGTTCTGTTCTTCTGCCATTCTTCTGACAGCTTGATTTTTCCAGCAATTTCCTTAGAGAGAGAAAAGCAGAGAATGAAACAATAAACTTCCACTTACTGGTCCTGTCCAACTTAGCTTACTAAATTCTGTTTCAGGGCAATTACATTCAGTCCTTCCTTCCCCACTAGTTTCACCCTTCTGTGACAGTCCAGAACAAGTTAGCCAGTGTGGCTCACTCTTCCTAGATTTGTCTTTAGGCATTGCTTTCGAGTTTTATGATGTCATTTCGGGACTCTACCCATTACAGACAGTAAGTTTTCATATTAAAGTTGTATTGTCAGTGTCCACAAATTCTGGTTTCTTCTTGGTGAAGCCACTTCAGCCTGTAGGAGAAGGTCATTCTATTGGTAAGGCATCTACTATCTATCTCTAAATGGTTTTAACAGTGTTTAAAATACATTTTAACAACCTCATAAAAAACACTGTAAAAGTACCATTGATCACAGTGAAAGATACAGATGCATTTTAATGACTCAGCAGGGTCTACTTGGACATGAAAGCCCAATCTAATATTGCAGAGACAGGATTCCCCAGTGAAAAAAAAGAAATCACTAAGTGAGCCAAATGGTAAAGTTCAAAATAACAGAAAGGTTCAAAACAATCCCTGTTGTACTTTGGTGCTCTCATTCTCTACATTGAGATTACAGTGGTAACAGACACTTGGTGATTAAACGACATGATTTTAACAAGGGTATTTCATTTGTCTGAAAGAAGGGGCAGCCTACAACTTACCTATATATTTTCCTCACTCTGTATCAGCATGTTCTGCATAGGGAGGTGAGGAGGATGAAGAAATCAGGCTGCTTTCTTTTCTCATCTCATGGCATATTTATCCCAGCACATTATAGAGTCCCTACCAGACCCAGAACAGTCTTATTCCTCTGTCTGGGTAGCAGAGGGAAGACTAGCGGTATGTCTTTTTCCTGATGAGCAAAACAATTTTGTGTCCCCTTGCACTGGGAGAATTGTTGCATCCCGCTGTTTTTCTGCCTACTTTCCAAGTGCTCAAATTGGCAGGTAGCAAGATAGAACTGACATATACCTACCAAGTGCTGTGCAGTGATGCTCTTAATTCTGTCCCCAAAGTGGAAGGTCATTGTTCTCCAATTTTTATTTTGATTCTTCTCTTTTCATGTCTGGCATCTTCTGTCAGGAAGTCCCTGAAAAAAACAAGTATGTTGGTGGAGTCCTGCAAGAATGGTTAGCTGCTTTCCAGAAACTGTTTCATGACTCACCAGCATGTCATTTACCCAAGATGTAGTGTCAGAACTTAATTTCCTGCCTGTAGGTTTATCAGGTCCTTCTTACATGCTAGATTGTAGCAGATGGCAGGATATAGAAAGTCCTGCACTGAAAATAATTGGGACCACTTTTACCAAGAACTTTTAAACTCCAGCTGTATCTTTTAGATGCTCTTTTTGGATTAGAAAGTAAGAGTCTTGTCTAGGCTTGTTTGTTTGTAGGATACAGCAAACATACTTGCTCAAATTGCTGCACCATGTTTCCAATTACAGTAAGAAATAAGATTACCATAGCAAAACATACCATCTCTCTTGGAGGAAAGTGTTTTGTGTGTTGTTGTTGTTTTTTTTTTTTTTTTTCTTCTGTACTTTCTCCTTATGGTCTAGTAATTCCAGCCTTTCCTTAAAGTGGAAATATGTGCTCATCTTACCAACAACAATAATGTGGGTTTCCATTCTGTTTGAACTATTTGTATATACTTTATGCTCTTGAGGCAGTGATAGAATATACACTGTTACATGTTACACATTTACTTATTAAGCACTAATTTGTCACAGTTTTCTTGTCTTTTGCCTACGCTGCATTTACATCTCAACACTGTCTTTACTTAGGTTCGCTGGGGTGATAAAGGATCCACTGAAGAAGGGGCTAGATTAGAAAAGGCAAAAAATGCTGTGGTGAAACTCCCAGAAGAACCAGAAGAACCTTTTCATCCTAAGCCACCTAAACCAAAGCCTACCTCACCAGTCATTCAGGAGAAGTGGTATACGCCAATTAAGGTAATCCTTTTCATCTTCGGTACAATACGGTTTTGTACTAACGCTGGATTTTGTGTGCCTTACGAGTCTTATGCATGCTGAACTGTACATTTTTTCCAAGTACTCCCGACCAAATATAATGTACTGTTCTCAATATGAACACCTACTCAGGATGAATAGCAGGAGCAGTTTTTATCCCTCCATCAGTATTTCATCAGTAATTACCACATTCTGTTATGCTTCCACACAAAGGGACATACCGTATAGTAAGAGTGTTAAAATACATGGGAGCTTTACTGGCATGTAATCTATCTCCGTGTATACCTAATCAAGGCTGCACAGTCCATAGCTGATGACTAAGTTTGCAATGTTTGCAAATTTACTATTATATAATTATTTATATTCATTATATAAAATATTTATTGTATAAAATATTATATTAATAGCATTTATTATATTTAGTTTGCCCATTACTAATCAAGAGAAGCAAAAAATTATATAAAACAATACTATGCAAAAAGTTTTGACTGAAATAAATGGAAGAATAAATGGTATAAAATACAGACATTTTCCTCTGTAGATTGCATGAGTCACCTGCAAACCTGTAATAAGCTCTTCTTAAAAACTGAAGATGGCTCCATAACTACCTTTCTTTAAGTATGTTAGAACAGAGAATACAAAGGTTTAGCTGTGGTATGAATAAAGCTAATCTATCTTCCTAACTCCTAGTAAGTACTTTCTGAATTGCAGAAATTGCAAAAATTTCTGAATTGCTGAACACGTTCTCTGCACACACACACAAATTCTGCAGCCCATCCGTGCGAGTGGGATGCTTCCTGACAAGCAGCAGAGCTGCTCTGCATGTTCTGCACAGTCTGAGCGCTCACAGTGAACCTGCTGCATTCAGTACATGTTGGACTTGCAACACAGCACAGATCAGCCATATGCCTAGCAGGTCCAAGGCTTCCCTGAAAACCATGAACTTCCTGTATACATGCTGTAACAACAAATAGATTTATGTGGGAGAAATCCTAGATGGACATGTAGCAAATCAGCCTGAAGTACTGACAAATAAACAGGTTACTTCTAGATCACTCAGAAATAAATTTGAGGCAGGTCCATGGTTTCTCTGCTCTCAGCAGAGGTATAAGTACTTTATTTGTACTCACTGATGGGAAAGATCAGCACCACAGCTATCTGGAGTGAGAGGCAGCCTAAGAGCAGCATACCTGGCTCTGAGGAATGGATGTTTAGTTCTGCTGGTAAATTTCTCCTTGGACAGAACTTCAGCATGTGTGGTGTGCTTTCAGTTGACTGATTTTATCATAAAGTCCTGTTGCTCTGTTGCCACAGGGTCGACTTGATGCACTGTGGGCGCTGTTACGAAGACAGTATGACAGAGTCTCTTTGATGCGACCACAACAAGGAGACGAGGTTTGTGCTATGCGAGGGTATCGCAGGGTGGGCAAAAAAGGGGTATGTTACAGCCAGGGTTTCGCGGCTGCTGAACACTGGTAATTCTGTGCAGTCAAAAGAATGACACAATAGGAAAAATAATGCACTGGGAAAAAACATGCATTGAAGAATGTATCAGACCAGGCAAGAAATGTTATGGAAACATGGATGTCCTGCAAGTATAATGAGGAATTCTGTATTTTATGTGTGTTCAGCTGGAAAACAAAAACATAACACAGACTTTGTGTGGTCTAACCTCTCTCTAAAAGGTGCATAATACTTTCTAATATTTAGCTCCTTGGAAGAGCAGAGTTTGGCAGTCAGAATACTAAAACCACATCATATTTAGTGACCCCCAATAAATTCTATGCAAATAGATTCATGATGCTTTGCACTTGCATGCCAGAAGCAACATTCACAGGCAAAACTTGTTTCTCAGACAATTCTTTCTGTCCGTACACTCATGACTCATGAAAAAGTGGCCCCCACTACAAAGACTGCTAAGACTACCAAGTAAAGGAAATAGCTATTATTTGGACTTTTCACAGTAAATCTAGACTGTATTTTTTTCTGATTATTGCTCCTTAAGAAAAGCATTACTTTAAATCTTGGCATTTACCTCGGGAACTGATTTATGATGAAGGTATTTCAAATCTTCTGGAACCATTCACCACTCCTGTGTGTGACACATCTGAAGGGATTTAGGAGCAAAGACATTTCCTCTAAGTGAGATGGCAACTTTTTCTCAACAAACCGGCCCCAAAACCAAATGGGTATGACAGATAAGATTTTAAAGTACTACAAAGCATCAGTGTGAGAATCTCTATTTTTGCAACAAACATCATAAAAATGACATAAGAATTAGAGAAGTTCAAGTGAGTGAGTTACCTTTGAAAGCATGAGAGGCAGTCACTATTTAAGCTATCGTTGTGATGATAGGGATGAATTTTGGTACTGTTCTAAAGTAAGAAAAGGTGAGACATATGTACATGTAATGGAAGAAGCAGAATGACAAAATGCAGGGCTGGAAACAGAAAGCATAGTCTTTGCATAGCTGTCAAATATTAGTATTATCATTCTAGTTGTTTGCGTATTATTTACTGTTTGAATGTATGTTACACACAAAAATTAACAATAGCAATTAATTCTTCATGGAAAATACACAGTGCTTTACAGTACTTTAAAAAGTCAATTCAATGTAAATATAAACATCAATGCCTGAACTTCCCAGGTACCTGAACAGGCTAAAAACTGTCAGGCTCTATTTTGAGGATTTCTGACCGTAAAGACAGGTAGGTGCTGAAAAATGTGCCTGCCAGGGAAAGCATTTTGGCACCAGTGAGAAATCAAGCATTCATCTTCTCTGGACTTGACTGGAAGACACTGACCAGCATCTTGGTTTAGAAAAACCGAGAGGAACCTCACTAATCTTCAGTATCCTTACTGAAAAAGGGAATAGAATTTCTGTTAATGAATAAAGGCTAGAATAATGATTCAGGTGTACCACAAGTGTGACCTGTGGTACCGTAGGAATGCATTCCGCATCTGACTCAGTATTTTCTATTTTGGGAGAAAAAAATACATCTTGTTTATAATTTGCTAGGTACAGGTCCCATGCCATACCCCTGGTGGGTTTGTCAGTAAACAGATGAGCAGTCACGCATGTGCACTGCAAGATACATGCATGCACATACTTAATTCAGAAGCATTATTATGGGAAACAGCAGCCACGTAGATGTTTTGTTTTGTTTTGTTTTGTTTCTTTTACTGCTTAGGAATTTAGTAGTTCCCATTTGTAGAAGAATTCACTGCTGAATTCAAGTCCTTGATCAAGTAATTGAAATTTAGGCATGAAGTATCAAAGCGGAGAGAGCTTTTTCTTCCTCCTCTCTCCCCTCTGCCACCTCTTCCATGATGCCAGATAATGCCGAGGGTGGCCCAGTTTGAGGGCTGCACACAGCTGATTCTGGAAGCTTTGATTGTGGCTGGAAGTCCTTGGAGTCATAAATTTTTCAGCCAGCAATCCGTGAGGTTAGGGAAGCTTGTACAGGTGTGAGCTAGCAGGTTGTTGCCGACATCTGTTTGGAGTGGAGGCGCAGGTCCTCAGCAGCCTGCAGCGAGGCTGCTGGATTGTCAGCAGATGTAGTTAAGAGTGGCAGAACAGTTTTGGTCTCACATTTGCCGCCTGGGGGCTGAAACAGTAAAGGTAGATTGGGGGTGGACACAGCTGCACTCCCAAACATGCCTCGGGCACAAATAAAGAGATCTAATATAGTTTGACTCTGTTGTGGTGGGGAGATGAGGACAGAGAGCCACTTCAGAGACAACTTAACGCTGCAACATCTGCCGCCAAGTTTCCAGGGAGTGACAGGGGACAGCAGGTACAGATCGAAGTCCCCACATAAACAGCCCCCATTAAGCCATGAACTCTTTTGAAGGGCTCCCATCAAACATAGCAGAGTCCGTGGCAGGAGACTGTTTTGTTTTCAAAGCAGTGTTTTGTTTTCTGCACTAACAAGATAATTTATAAATGATTCATTACCCTGAGTTCCTACTCTTATTTATATATATATTTTTTTAATTTAAGAGGCAAAGAAGAATGAGCCACAGTAGTTTTTGGGTAGTTTGATAATGATAAACCAGTTAACTGCCCAAAGGTTTTAGCTGAGGATATGGCAACCTTCAGCCCACAGTGTTATATTCAGATGGGAAAGAGATGAAGGCGTGTGCTGTTACTGGAGCATTGCGCGGGAGCGTCTGCTATCGTTTCCATACTGAAACACCTCTTCCACAGAGTTTGTTTCTGCAGGAGAAAGAAACTTGGCACAGGTTTGCAATGTGACTGTTAGGGGCCTGTTCTTTTACATACATTCTTCTGTTTATTTTCCGAGTTGTAGTTTAGCACCTAAAGGTTATCACTAGGGTTTCTCAAATGCTTAATAGGACCTTGTTGCTTTGCACAACTTGATAGTGGCTGAGATTCTGATTCTGTGTACATGTGCAGACAAACTGCTTTTAAGACCACAAACAGTCCATGCCACTCTCATTTAAGATATTGCACAATCAGGATGTGAACATATGTGTCAGGTAACAGGAAAAAAAATCTACAGCTAATTGCACAAAAATTTCTACAGTAGCACTACAGAATATTTTCAGCTTTTTCAATGTTACAAAGCAGCCAAATATATATATATATATATATAAATTTTTTAAACCTGTTAGTGTGTACATGCTTTAAAGATGAATTTATAATAATGGCTGTAGAATTCATACAAACATCTATTTAAAGTAATGTTACTTTGTCAGCATCTCTACATGATGCAAGAGAAATTATACTCCATATTGTAATTCTGTTAGCACCACAAACATGCAGTTCAAAAGACTGTGACAGTGTCATATTCTCTGAGGTGAGGCCCATGCTCCTGTTCCCTTTCTGTTTGTTCAGTAGTTCCTATGCTGGGCACAGGCAGAAAATACCAGATCATTAGTTCAGTCTGTCAATTATAGAGTAGAAAAGGACTTGTTAGGAAGCTGAGGCTGTAAGTGCCTTACACTGTCTAAACATGCTATTTTGAATCAAAAGACTAACTGCAGTGCCTAGGAGAACCAAAACTTTCAGTTCCACACCGTGCTTTAACAGGGTCTGAAGGACAGTTCATCATCTACCACTGCAATAGCACTGCCAGCACAAGTAGTAGCCTTGTGTTTCATAACTCACTCAGCAATGTTGGCTTGCCTGTACAGTAATGAAACAGGAACAATACTGGTGATATCAGGATTTTTTGGTTTATTCCATTATTTTCTAATAACTGTACTTTTTGGTCTTTTTCCAACCAAGGAGGACCTGCTAGAAAATGAGGCAAATTCTTTTTTTTTTCTGTGAATGGTAGAAATGTGTAGAGAAATAACAAATCATGGTTAGAGGAAGACTACTGTAGTTACTTACAGGTAGTGCAGTTTTGGATTTAGAATGTTTTTCAATCAAACTGCACCTAGCTGCAACTTGCATTACAACATAATATTGTTCACTTGAGTTCCTTGTTCAATGATAATACGCCATAGCATATTTCAGCATAACGTAGAAGGGATTATGCTGAAAAAGATGTTGCCTGAGACTTTTAAAAAGAAACACACGTATCATTCATAAAGCTAAGGTTATGTTTATCTGGGATCTTTTGAATTGCTGCAATGTTAGAAGATGCAAAACTGGTAAGAAAGTGAGATTAGAAGAGAGTTAAAGTGCAACTCTTTTTCTTAAATCTCTTCTGCTAAAATATTCCTTCTATCATTCCTTCAATCATTGAGAAGGGTCTCAGGTGCTCCTCCATCCTAGCTGGAGTGGCTGATGTTAGGTAGTATCTTAATAGATTTCTTAGCTGTCCATCACCAAAAGCAGTAGTAGTCATCTTTATGAAAAAATGATGATGTCCTGCCATTGTGAGAAACAAGGATATTTTCCTACATACGTAGGCAGTCACTTTTGGCACTCCCTGACTTTGTGCAGATCAGAGCTGTTGCTTTTTTTAAATCAAGCCTTCAGAATTCAGCAGTGTGAGTATGAGCACTTCTGTGAATGAAATAATACAAAGAAATAAATCTACTTGTCAGCCTTCAGGCCCTGACATTTGTACCAATTTGACTGATACTCCTACAGAGTGAAATGGACAAAGCAGCTCTAGCAGCCCTTGTGCAAGCCTGTCTCTGGAGGTGGCACCATTAGGCTACACGGGTCGGGGATGGTCCTGGTGGAAGTACTGTCATGAGAAAATATGGGATGCGCCTTTTGTGTAGCCACGACATTTTAGTAAAGCATTTTAAAAAGCTGAGCTGCTACCATAGTTTGCAGCCAGAGGAATCCTTGCTGGCTATATTAGTTTACAAACAGATATCTGTAAGCTAAGTGTTTTAGGCCTTCTAAAATACCAGGCATCGCTGTAACTTGAGCTGTGCTGGCAGCCTATAATGCCTATTAAGAAAGGAGAAGTCAGTCTTTTCTGGATGGACTATGAATTTGCTACAGCTGCCACACACTGTCTCCCCCAGCCTGAAGAGCGTTACAGTTCCTCCTTTCGCCCCTCACCCCCTCCATGCTGTATTGAGAAGAAAACATTTCATTTGGCAGTTAAGTTTTTGTCACTGTTTCACTGAGCATAATTTAAAAGGAAAAATAATCGTATCCTTACTTCCTCAACACATCTTTATATAGGGTGGATTGCGGTAAAAAGTTACGTTTAATCACTACCTGGCTTCCAGCAAAGAGAGTGCTGCATATATCTAACCAAACCCAGATATAAAACAACTCCCAGCTTGGGCACAGCCCTTACAGAGAGGGAAGGCCAATGGAGTTTATGTTAATGTTGAGAGTCTCATTAGCCCAGCTTACAGGAAGACTGACTACCTTCAAGAAGCAGCAAGAGGAAAGCTGACAGGTTAATTCAGTCGCTACTCTCCAAGAGAGACGTGACAGCTTTAACTGTCTTGTGCGTCCAGATTTATGAACTAGTCCTGTGCTCTTAACCAGATTAGTTCCTTTTCCATTAACTGCTGAAAGTAGGGCAGCTGTCCGAGCGGCTGGTTGTAAATTCGATAATGTCTGCTCTGTTAATCTGTAGGCTTTTCAGATGGAGAAGGCAGCAGATAACAGGATTAAAGTTTCACGACCCAGGGTTTTCACAGCCTGATATGCGGGCGTAGGGGGATAGAGAATGACTTCTGTCATTAATCTTAATTGATTGCCAAGAGGTTTTAATCTGGGTTATTAATTAGGAAGATCCTTAACATACTGTCTACACATCAACATCAGATGCTCTTTTGAGACTTTTGGGACATATGGCCTATCTTATATTTACATTCACACAATTTGCACATACATATATTTCTGTATGAAGTGCACATATATATGTATATATGCATACAAATAGCTATAGAAACATTTGCATGCAGAGAGGCATTGCACGCTCTTTGGCAATATTTGATGAAAATGAAAAAACACGGTGCACATAGGTTACATTTCCACATAGTAAACATGTATACCTCTATGTTCATATGTTTATGTATCTGTTTCCATTATACATGCCACTTATCTCAATTCTTTCTTAAATGGAAATATCTGATTTTGCAGATTTACATAACGTTCACGTTTAACAGAAGTGCAGCACATGTCCATATGTGCCTCTGGCCATTAAGACACCTACAGATCTCATACAGGAACATTATCATTTTTATCTTTCACAGTTCTCTGGAGTTAATTTCAGGCCCTCATTTTTCCCTTGTTTTATTTTTAAACAAGTTGCTGTAGGACAGCCAGAATGGACAGAGGTATAACTCCCCATAGCTGCAACTACGTAGCTATGCAATAAATCCCAGTAATGCAGCTTTGATGTTTACCAAAGTGTGGTATGCAGGAGGAAATATTGAATTATGGATTGAGCATATAATCTAGGCAAGAGAAAATGCTATGACAGAGTCCTGGCATTTGAATTTTGTGTAGATTCAAACTGCACTATAAATTGTCCTTTTACAGATAATTATTTACATGATTAATCACACATACAGAAGGAGAGCCAGGGGCTGAAGAGGCCTCATGTTTTAAGTCTCTGTGAGTGACAGTAGAGAGGACTCCTGCTTCCTGCTCAGCGTACTAGGCCATGCTGTCCTGCTTTACAAAAAAAAATGCAAATATTATAAGAAGCCAACTATTTAGTTACTCATGAGCTGAAAAGTCTGCCCTTAAAAGTGTTCACAAATAAAAATGGTTTGTGATCCTTCAGACGAGAGAGAAGTGTGTAACTGCTGCTTTTGGGAACGGTTAAAAATGGCCACGTATCAGGGGGACTTGCTAACAAGCTAGACAAAGGATTTTGAAGTTTTTCACAGGAAAGGAGATCAGTTACTGTCTCACCTAAATGTAGACTCAGTGGAGAAGCACATGAAAGAAACTGAAAGTTCTGTCATGCCTGTATTGCGTGTTGTGTTACCTCTTTAAACTGTTACCCACAACTTTCACTCATTTCCCATTGTAAATTGCATCCAGTCTTCCTGTAACAGAGAGTAACTGTTGCAGTGCCACAAAGGGGCATCACACGAATGCACTCACCTCCCAAAGATTTGTTGTCTTTGATTTTGCTCTCTGCTTCAACTTGGATTTCATCCGAAGTAACTTTCCAGCATATTCTGGCTCTTAGAAAGAATTAGATCTTGACTCATTTCTAGGTTGTTTTCCTAACAAAGTCCCACTTGTGTAAGATTTCTAGCTTTTATCCTCTATCTTACTCTTCCAAGATGTTCCTCCTCTTGAGCAACACCTGTAACTTCATTTGGACTACTGAGGTACGTGGATATTAGTGAAGTCCTGCTTTGTATCAGTCATTCAGCAGTCAGCTGAGTTGATCTATAATTTTTCACTTAGCACTGGAGGTACTTCTGCTGAGAAGGAACAGCATAGTAACAGCAGACTTCCCAAGAACGCATCTTACTGATCTGGCAGATAATCCATTTTTGTGGTGTCTCAGGAGCTTTGTTGTCGAGTTGGGAACGCCCCCTTGTTGGCACATTGAAGAAGAGGTCAGAACTTGATTTCAAACAATGGCATCATTTCTTCCACCTCATCACAAATTTGAAATCCAAGGATGAAACGACTTTAATGACCATGTTTCCTTGGCATAGCTCTCTGTCTGCCTTTTCCTATGAATCACAGATAAGGAGGAGGAACTGAAGTAATTTGAAACCACATTGTAGGCAATAAAAACACCAGGCGTGGAAGAAAAGTCTTCCAATTGGCTCACACAGAATCAGCAAAGAATCTCCCGTAGCTGTGCATCCTTTACTCCTTTGCTTTTTGACAACATCTAAATGAAAAGATTTTATTTGGAGCAAAAATAATGCATTAGTCATTTTAGCTCCTACGCTCAAAGTGATTATTTGGAATGGTAATGTTCAGTGGAGATGGGATTCTCCATAGCTGTAGAAATGAAAGGGCCCAGAACTCTTCATCAGTGATTTGGCATGTTTAACAAGAATCAGACTGGGATTCCATTGCTGTTTGGAGAAGATCACTACAAACAGTTTATATCAACAAAGATAACTGACAATGGAAATCAACTGCCCAGGAGCTAGCCGGGGTCTGGGATAGGGAACTTGATAACAGAATGAGGCGGGAGGCTCAGAATACTTAATGGAAAAAGAAATAGGATAAATTTCCTTTGACTTCACTGGGCTCTAATTCCCTAAGCAACAGGAAAGGCTTATAAAAACATCTTGAAAAGAGTATTTTTAGAAAGGAGAGTTCCTGCATCACGTTGAAGGTGTCAGTGTCACCTGCAGGTAGTTGTGGCAACCTACAACTCGAAGTGGGTTACTTGAGGAGTTTATTATGAACCTGTGCTCAATTACAGCTAAGTGAGATCCAAGTATGAGCAAGTACCCCACCCAGATGCTGTCACTGCACCAATACAACAGTCTTCTAAAGCCTGAAAACAGCTGCACATGATAATTTCATGCAAGCAAATCTTCTCATTAGCTTTAATACAACATTATCAGAAAGAAGGCAGGGTGATGGAGCTGCTCTGTTTTTGTGACACTGGTTGCATAAAATAGCTGGGAAGGACTACTGCTGAATGTGACAATTATTTGTTAGAGGTGGACAGTTTGAAGCAAGAAGAAAAAATATTAAAATTTAAATTTACTGCTTCTGATCTTTTTAGTCTATTCCCATAATTCAAAATTATTTTTGTTTTGAAATCTATTTTTGTGTGTCTGCAAGTCCATAATGAACTATAGATCCATTAAGAACTAACAAAAATCCTAAACGCTTGAATTATGAACATCTTAAAATAACTAAGCTGTAATATTTTCTCGGTAACTCAACTTTAATATTTACATGGAGTGCCTTAAAGTAACATATGCCTATGATCCTCATCTGTATGTTTTGTCTCAAGAGGAAATTTCTACCTACTAAGAGAAGTGAGTGTGCCGTACATTGCCAAAGCCCGTTATACATAAAAGTTCAGGCAAACATCTATCCATAAATTAGAATGCCTTGATACATTGGAGTTTTGTCTCCCAACAGTGTGACATAATGGCATGCCCTCGGCCTTAACATTTAATTTTAATATTGAATGTGCCGCTTTTTGATGGCTTGTGTCATAGCCTTCATGTAATTTAAACACAGTCTTAAAAAAATTAATTCAATTACAAGCAATGGAGTTATTAATGCTGCTTCATGTCACTAAATATATAGGGATACATATGATTCTGTTCCTTTCAAGTCACTCTGAAATGAATTTTGCAACTTCTGATAACTGTGGTGGACAAATGCTAAATGAAAATCAATCACTTCAATTTAAATGGGCTAAGCTCACTGTCTTTCTTAAACAGCCTCTGTCGGACAGCTAACCAGATGATAAGTAACAGTTTCACTGACCTATAGCCTTTGAATGTTTAACATAACCCTCTAAGGACAGCACTTCAATTACCACTGCATTGCTTGTACTCTAGGGCTCAGGATTGCTCATTCGTATATAAAGATTACTTTATTTCTGATGCATTTTTCTATCCGTAGTTTTCTTCCACAATGTTGCTCCATTTTTATTACCGTGTCTAGCAATCCAAACCCTGCAACTGAAATGAATTTGATCAAATTAAAGAGGATCAGATTTTCCTGGAATTTGTTATCATTTTTTTCCACTGGAAACAACAGAACTCCCTTGATGGTCTGAAATATAAATTTTCTTGTAGGATGCAAAACATCACTGTGTGATGAGAGAGGGTAAATGCAGATGGAAAGTACATGTTAGCTAGTAGAACATTTTATCTTTCTGTGCCAAAGTGGATGGGTAATATTTTATGTTATATTACAGTAACAACATAAAACCTGCTAAAATTTGAAGTGGTTGTAAAATGATGGACAGGTACGGGTATCTTTGGGTTGCTGAAAATGATTCCACCTCCCCCCCCCTCAAAAAAAAAAAAAAAAAAAAGTATATTATTTAGGGCTTAAAATTTTCAGAAAAGCCTAAGGGCTCTTAAAATTTCACCCAGTTCCAGGGAAGGACTTCCCTACCAAAGCCCAAACCATCCCATCAAAACAAACTGTCACAGGTCCCTAAATCATACAAATCCTGTGTATTGCCACTAGAAAATGACTGCTTACCACTGGAAACAGGTATTGCATTTTAGACCACATCCTTATGTCTGTCCTGCTTCCTTCCCTGTTCCAGTGCTGTGCTGCCTTTTTGCCCTGTTCCTGGCTCAATTCTCTCTCTGTGTGGACTGCTGCATTTGCCCTCACTACTGCAGAGCTCTGCTCACTATCTTGAACCTAGAGTGCCTATCACAGCTGAACCACAACTAGTTGCAGGTCATTTATTTAATTTCATTAATAAAATAAAAGTGTCCACAGACAAAGGCTTCTGCCCTCTAATAGCCACTTCGAGTCTCAGGCAGCTGACGGGAATGACCTTTTATTTCTGCAGTCATTTTCATAATGATATTCAGGGTCAGGCCCAACAACCAATCTGCCATGCATTAGTAGACATCAGTTCCCTTTGGTAATACGAGATAGATGTACCCCAAGCAGATGGTCAGAGATCATAGGTGGCTAATGAACTTGATGGGGCATTTTATTAAGATTATGATGGCAACTAAATATGTTTTTCCCCTCTGATAACAGCATTTATAACAAAAAGAAAAGGTGTGTAAAGGACCAGGAGTATACAATGGATTGTGTTTTTGCTGGACCTAGAAATCTCTGAATTCTGGATGTAATTTCTCAAATCTGATTGCTCTATAAGTGCAGTGGCACAAACTGCCTTGTGGTTGGCAGAGTAAAAGAAACTGCTAGTTTACCTTGGTGCTAATTGGAGAGAAGGTGGCACAATGTTACCCCCATCCTGGTATTTGTTACTGACTCTCCCGCTTTGAATAACTTTTACATGTCAGATATTTTAAAGCTAGTTATCACACTCCCCACTCCAGTGAAGAGAAAATCCAAGAAAAAACAAATATCATGAAGTTCAGCCTTGCAAATGCATATCAAAGACGTGCACATGGGGGGCCATGGGATTGTACCCCTTTAATCACAGAGTATAGCAGAGTCATACTTGTTTTCCTTGAAAGCCCTTCCTGCTCCTAGTGTTTGCATTTTTGGGGTGTGGGCATGTTCAGACCTACCAAACCGAAATCCAATTTATCCTTCCTTTTTTTCCTCCAAACTAACTGTATGCCTTCCTGTCTCTGTGGAACTGACCCTAAAAGTATCAAGGCCAATTGCATCTGCCTAGCACTTCTCCTAGTCAGGGCCAAATCAATCAACAGCACAAAGCCATCGAGCTTGGAAGAGCACTTCATACCATTTCATGCACTTAATTCTTGCCAAGTGTAACATATTTTTACTGAGTAAAAGCCAGTGTCTCTCTGCTAGATAAATAGTACAACTGTGGCTCAAATTGCAAGTGAAATTTTACTTTTGACTTTTAAGGATTTGAGGTCTGTGTCACAAGTATTTGAGAAACCCCTTCATCTCCTGGCATATTACTCTAGGTCAGCTCATTCAACTTGTCCAAACCCCACCTGTGTGGAGAGATGCTATCTGGAGATCAACAGTCACAGATGATCCCTAGCTATGGTATTTGCCTCCTACCTTTGATTCCTAAAATATACATCAAGTGGTTTTCAGTATGGATTTTGGAGTTTCCTCTAAGGCTTATCTGAGGGGTAGTAAACACAACTGGTCTTTAGCTGAAATGATTGCTCATTACACCTGATTCCTTAGGAGGTTGTGTGTTAAAACTCGAGTTAAAAATCAAGCTAATTGTGGCTGCTATTGACTTAGACCTGTAATTGACTATGCTGAGCTTATACACAGCAATATGGAGGGTTTGGTAACTACTTAGGGATGTGATACTGAAAAATACCTTTGGTTTAGGCTTTCCAGAATTCTATTTAAATGTATTTCCAATAGTTTAAAGAAGATAAACAGAAAGAAATATTCCAATTTCTTTATATTTGAGTTTCCTATCTTGAATGTAATTATAGCCCTTTTCTTAAAAGGGTCAGCCACATGCTCAGTTGTTTGCCTGGGAAAAAAAATGGCTAAGAAGTCATGAGAAAATTAGTATAGGATATCACAATGCTAGGGAAAATGTTATTGTCCAGCATGTTTTACAGCCATATGTTTTCATCAAGGTAAAAATGCAACAGAAATTTTCCCCCAGTTTGTATCTCTGGTCTAGTCACAGTTGAGCATTTCTTACTGGGTTTTGGAGGAGTGCTTGGACGAGCAAGAGGTGCCTCCCTTGAGTGAGGACTGCAGGACCAGCCCCAGTAAACTCCTTGCCATTACTGGTGATATCACTAAGATGGTTATCACAAGCAGAGTAGCTGTGAGTTCTTCGCTCTAGAGTATTACGATACTTTGGGTTTTTAAAAATAGTCTACCTATTTAAGTGGAACATCATTCCTGAACTTGTAAGAAGAAACACTATGAAGAAGATTATTATGAAAGAGAATCATGATGGTGTGACCTGTCTCAGCAGACTATCACAGCAGCACTGATCAATTTCTAAGCAAGACCCATTTTTTTTATTGAACCTGCTGTCACCTCCTGCTGCAGCCTCTCACAACACCTCTGCTGTTGCAAGGAAGACCACCATGCATGGGCTTCAGCAGTGAGTACAGCGGGTCTCCCTGGGAAAATCTCCCAGCTAGGCCATATACTCATTTTTACTGAGAGCACAAGAATAATTCACAGCAGCTAAATATCTGCCCAATCTCCTCTTCTTTCCTTCAGAATGGTTGAGGCTTGCAGAGACTGAAGCAAAAATGTTTGCCATCTGACAACTCTTTTAGTCTGCCTTTCTAGTCTACTGTCTCCACCAAGATCACAACA